ATAAATAAATAAATATGATGGATATTAATCCAATCATATCAATAATCACTTGGAACATCAATGGTCTAAATGTATCATTTACAAGACAGCAACTATCAGAGTGGATGAAAACATAAGACTCAACTGTCAAGTATATAAGAAACTCAATGTAAATATAAAGACACATGGGGTCGACTTTGAGGCACAGTAGATTAATCCTCCACTTGTGGTGCTGGCATCCCATATGGGCTCTGGTTTTAGTCCCGGCTGCCCCTCTTCCAATCCAGCTCTCTGCTATGGCCTGGGAAAGCAGAAGATGGCCCAAGTGCTTGGGCCCCTGCAACCACATGGGAGACTGGGAAGAAGAACCTGGTTCAGCCGTTGCGCCATTTGGGGAGTAAACCAACGGAAGGAAGACTTTTCTGTCCCTCTCACTGTCTGTAACTCTACCTCTCAAATAAATAAAATCTTAAAAAAAAAAAAAGACATATAGAGATTAAGCATATGTGGATGGAAAAAGATAAACCAAGTAACACTGGTCAAAAGGAAACAAAAGCGGTTCTATTAATTTCATACAGAACAGACTTCAAAGCAAAAGTTATCAGAGATAAAGAGTAGCATTACATAATCATAAAGGGAATAATTCTTCAAGAAGACATAACAATCCTTAATCTGTAATCACCTATCAACAGACCATCAAGACATGTGAGGCAAAAACTAACAGAACTGCTAGGGGAAATGTTTGAATCAACTCTTACAGTTGGGGCTTCAACTATCAAAAATGGATAAATCCCAAAGGCTGGAAATCAATAAAGACATACAATGATCAGGTAGATACAAATGACATTTAAAGACCACTTCATCCAGCAATAGCAGAATACACATTCTTCTCAAGTTCTAATGAACACCAAGATAGACCATATTCTGGGCCATAAAACACACTTTAACAAATTTAGAACAGAAATCATACAAGATCTGCCTTCACAGAATTAAACTAGAATTAAACTAAAAATCATTAACAGAAAGATTCTTGCGGTGGGGGGAAAACTTCAAAATACCTGGAAATTAATGAACACATTCTAAATAACAAGTGGGCCAAAGAAGAAACACGAAGGGGCCGGCATTGTGGTAGAGCAGGAAAAATGCCTGCAACACTGACATCCCATATGGGCTCCAGTTCTATTTCTGATCTAGCTCCCTGATAATGGCCTGGGAGCAAAAGATGGCCCAAGTGTTTGGGTTCCTGTCACCCATATGGGAGGCCTGGATGAAGCTTCTTGCTGGCTGTGGCCTGGCCCAGCCCTGGCTGTTGCAGCTATCTGGGGAGTGAACCAGAAGGAAGATCCCTCTCTTTCTGTCTCTCCCTCTCTTTCTTTGTAACTCTCCTTTGATTAAATAAATAAATAAATAAATAAATTAAAAAAAAAAAAAAAGTTCAGGGCTGGAGCTGAGGCATAGTAAGCTGAGCCTCTGCCTTTTTAAGATTTATTTATTTGAAGGGTAGAGTGTCAGAAAGAGACAAACAGAGATTTTCAATCCACTGGTTTGCTCAGCAGATGATGGCCCAAGTACTTGAGCCCCCTGCCACCCATCTAGAAGATCAGGATGGAGTTCCTAGCTCCTGGCTTCCACCAGGCCCAGACATGGCTCTAGTAGCCATTTGAGGATTGAATCAACAGATGGATGCTCGCGCGCGTGCACGCTCTTTCTCTATCTCTCTTTCTCTCTCTGTGTGTATGTGTGTCACTCTCCATTTAAACAAATAAATCTTTTCTTTTTTAAATGATTATTTATTTGAAAGAGTGACAGAGATCTTCCATCCACTGGTTCATTCCCCAGACGGCTGCAGCAAGCCAGGGCTGGGCCAGGTTGAAGCTTAACCCACTGCACCATGTTCCCTTATTAAACATTTAAAGGGCACCCATTTTACTTCAGTTAATAATGTAAATAAGGACTGCACTGACATGATTAAATTCTGAAGACCCTCACTGCTTTAGGGATTAACTAAATGGCTGGTATCATCTCCTACTAAAGTGTCTTCAACATGATGGAAATATGGTTTATACTTTTGACTTTTATTTTTAAATTTCATTTTTCATGAACTTCTAGAAGTCTCCTTGTATACAAGGAACAGATAATCTGAACAGACCCATGCTTATTAATGAAATTTAATCAATAGTTTTTTCAAATTTAATTTTCTTCGTGAGGCAGAAAAAGAGAGAACAGAGCTCTCATCTCTGGTTCACTCCCCAAATGCCCACAATGGCCTCAGTTGTAGCAGGGAGGCAGAAATGTAATCTAGGTCTCCCATGTGGGTGGCAGGAACCTAATTATTTGAATCAGGGGCCAGTGTTGTGATGCAGTGGGTTAAACCACTTTCTGCAGTGCTTGGGCACGTTTTGAGTCCCAGCTGCTCTACTTCCCATCCAGCTCAATGCCACTGTGCCTGGGAAAGCAGCATAGGATGGCCCAAATACTTGGGCCCTTGTACCCACATGAGACCAGGAAGAAGCTCCTGGCTTTGGATCAGCCTGGCTCCAGCTGTTGCAGCCATTTAGGGAGTGAACTATCAGATACAAGATCTCTCTTTCTCTCTGTAATTCTGCCTTTCAAATAAGTAAATAAATATTTTTCTAAAACATTACTTGAATCACCACAGATGCTTACCACTGTATGCATTAGCAGGAAACAAGTCAGGAACTGGAGCTGGAAGTCAAATCCAGGCACTCTGATGTGGGATCTGGGCATCTTAATCACTAGGTCAAATGCCTAACCCTAAATCAATAATTAGTAACCTTCCAAAACAGAAAACACCTAACCTAGATGGGCTCGCTTGAGTCCCACCAACATTTAAGTAAGAAATCACAGCAATTCTATCATCTCTTTCAGAAGCTACATGCAGAAGGAATATTTCCTCATTTATTCTAGGAAGCCAGAACTATGCATGAGAAAATCCAGATGTCCCTGGGTTTGACAATGACTTTTTAGACAATACCAAAGATATGATGCATAAAAGAAATATGTGATGAGTGGATCTTCATTAAAATTAAATTTTTCTGCTGTGAGAAAGACACTGTCAAGAAAATGAGAGCATAGACCACAGACTGGGAGAGAATATTTGAAACAGGTGTATCTGCTGAAGTACTCTTATTCAAAATATACAAATTACTATTAAAATCCATCAATAAGAAAACAAAGTTAAAAACAGGCCAAAAAATTTAACAGACACTTCATAAAAGATAGATATGGATGTCCAACAAGCATATGAAAAAGTGTTCCATCATTAGTTGATTAAAACAATGAGATACCATAGATGTCTATCACAATGGCCAAAGTTCAGCAAACATCAAATATTGATTGTTGATAGAAATGCAAAATAGTATAATCACTTTGGAGGACACTGTGGTGGTTTCTTAGAAAACTAAACACACTCTTAGCATGTGATCCAGCAATCTCCCAACATGGTATTTCCAAAGGATTGGAAAACTTATATCCTCACAAAAACCTGCATACAGGTGTTCACAGCAGCTTTATTCAAAATTACCAACACAAGGAAGCAACCTGGATAGAGTTTGACCTTGCCTAGTCCTCATAAGCAGAGATTTAACCTTCTGTGCCACCATAATGGACCCAATCCAATTTTTAAAAATAGAAAACGCCCGGTAGTTATGTTTAAGCATATCTATTAGCATGGTCAAGATACTTTCTGGGGCCCACACTGTGGGACAGTGGGTAAAGTCCCTACCTGCAGCACTTGTGTCCTATTTGGGTGCCAGTTTGAGTCCTAGCTGCTCCACTCTGATCTAGCTCCCTGCTAACCCATTTGGGAAAGCAGTGAAAGATGGCCCAAATGCCTGGGCCCCTGCACCCACATAGGAGACCAGAAAGAAGCTCTTGACTCCTGGCTTCGAATAGGCCCGCTCCGGCCAGTGCAGCAAGCTGGGGTATGAAACAGCAGATGGAAGACCCCCCCCCTTACCTCTGCCTTTCAAATAAATAAATATTTAAAAAATATTTTAAAACTAAGGTATTTAGATGTCTCAAGAGCTCAAAATGATTGGTGAGAAAAGGTTCTTTAAAAAAAAAAGATACCTTCTGTCATCCCTCCCATTGGATCTCAGTATTTCTGAATTCTTAACACTACTTGAGCTAGATGGCTGCAGATTATTTATGCATAATAATAAGGGGGACCACTGTTGCGATGTAGCAGGTAAAGCTACACTGGCACCCCATGTAAGTGCCAGTTTGTGAACCAGCCACTCCACTTCTGATCCAGCACCCTGTTAGTGGCCTGGAAAAAGCAGCAGAATATGGCCCAGGTGCTTGGGCCCCTGTCACCCACATGGGAGATGTGGATGAAGCTCCTAGCTCCTGGCTTCGGCTTAGCCCAGCATTGGCTATTGTGGCCATCTGGGGAGTGAATCAGCAGATGGGAGATCTCTCTTTCTCTGTCTATCCCTCTAACTCTTTCAAATAAAAAATAAATAAATCTTAAAAAAAGAGAATATTTAGGCAGATGATGTTACCTCTCAATGAAGAAGACTAACTCAAAATCCAGTAATAGTTTTAAGCTTGGCTTGGCAAATTATCTAGAGATGAATCTATACAACTCACAAGACACAGATTTGTGTTAAAAATTTTCTATCAGACATGAATTCACTGTATAACTCTTATTATCCTTGAAATAAAGTCAATTAAAAGAAATTAATTTTATTGTGTTTAAAATTATTCACTTCTAATGTCATACGAAGCATAAAATCTCTAATGGCTTTCTATTATTTACATGTATTTAGTACATTTTTACTGTAGCAACAGAAATCACTTAAAATATGAAGCTTTCAAAAAACATTAAAAGTAGTTGCTTCTGAGAATGAACTAGGAGTTGGGAAAGGATAGGATAAAAGGGTATTCATTACAAGCGTTATTACCTAATTTTTTTAACCAAGCATATAACTTACTTAAATACACTCTTACAAATGAAGTCTTTATTGTGACTTCTTATAACCAGCCAAAGATAATACCTTGGGGGGAAGAAAGGTGTTGCTCTTGCAGCTTTTCCTGAGAGAGTCCCAAGTAGCTGAGAACAACGTACTTTGTTTCATAGTGGAATCCTGCAGGCACAGCAGTAGAGGACGCCATTGAACTGACTGGTAGAGCTCCAACTGGGTCTACTGACAGACACAGACACGTAACACCTAAAGACAGAAGTTTTTTTTATCAGTGTAAAGTTTACTAAATGCCAGCACATTTTACTATTGACAGCAACCAACCAAATGCCAAAATAAGTGTTTCTCACACTTCTTTCCGGTATTCTTGAAAAATATGTTAATGTACTCACAAACAGCCTGACCGTGGCTGAGTCAGAAGCCTAACCTTCCTCGGTTCCTGCTTTTCTTCAAGCCTAATTTTCCAGTTTTTCCATCTGTGCTTTGAGCTACCCATTACTCTTTTTTATAAATCATTTTCTGCTTAAGTAAACTAAAATTAGCTTATAGGTTTTACAACCAAGACCTACCTGGAATGGCCAATATTGGAACCAAATTTTCTTTCCATTTTTAAGGCAGTTCCACATCAAATATAACATGGTACTTTCATGTGAGATTATTAAATTTAGTTTACAGAAATCTTTTATTTCTACAAAATCCACATGTAAACTTAGTAGTGTAGTTACATCCAAAAGTAAAAACACATTCTTGAATTGAAATAGAACAGTGCCTTCTGATAATTTTTTGTTTATTCAACATACATTTCTTTAAAAAAAAAAAAAGATTTATTTGAGAGGCAGAGTTATAGAGAGGGAGAGACAGGTATTCCATTTGCTGGTTCACTCCCCAAATGGCCTCAACAACCAGAGCTGGGCCGATCTGAAAGCAGGAGAAAGGAGCTTCTTCCACGTCTCCCACATGGGGGCAGAGGCCCATGCACTTGAACCATCTTCCTCTACCTTTCCAGGCCATTAGCAGAGAACAGCATCAGAAGAGGAACGACCAGAAACCAACCCCTGCCCATATGGGATGCATGCATCACAGGCAGAGGCTCCTATGCCCCAGTGCCGGCCACCTCAACATGCATTTCTTAAACTACAAGGTACTCTATAGGAATTAGGCACAAAGGTAAGTAGGGTAAGTCACCAACCCACAGGAGTTCTCAAATAAACAGAATGCAAAAATACATACCCAGTTAAGAACAATTAATGTTCTATGATATAAGCCAGTATCCATCAGAGAGAAGGGAGGGAATCTAACAAAGGAAGCAAGTCTCTGTGGGGAAGGAAAATAAGGAAGTGGTGGCCGGCGCCGCGGCTCACTAGGCTAATCCTCCGCCTGGTTGGGGCGCCGGATTCTGTCCCGGTTGCCCCTCTTCCAGGCCAGCTCTCTGCTGTGGCCAGGGAGTGCAGTGGAGGATGGCCCAGGTGCTTGGGCCCTGCACCCCACAGGAGACCAGGAAAAGCACCTGGCTCCTGGCTCCTGCCATCGGATCAGCGCGGTGTGCCGGCTGCAGCGCGCCAGCCGCGGCGGCCATTGGAGGGTGAACCAATGGCAAAGGAAGACCTTTCTCTCTGTCTCTCTCTCTCACTGTCCACTCTGCCTGTCAAAAAAATAAAAAAAAAAAAAAAAAAAAAAAAAGAAAAAGAAAGAAAATAAGGAAGTGGAAGTCAGAAAAGGTTTCTAAAGGAGCTGGCACTGTGGCATAGAGTTAAACCTCCGCCTGCAGCATCAGCATCCCATAGGAGTGCTGGTTCAAGTTCCAGCTGCTCTGCTTCCAATCCATCTCCCTGCTAAATATGCCTGGGAAAACAGTAGATGGCCCAAGTGCTTGGGTCTCTGCACCCACATGGGAGACCCGGAAGAAGCTTCTGGTTCTTGGCTTCAGATGGGCCCAGCTCTGGCCAATGTGGCCGTTTGGAGAGCAAACCAGCAAATAGACGACCTCTCTCCCTCTGTATGACTGTAACTATGCCTCTCAAATAAATCAATCTTGAAAGGAAAGAAGGAAGGGAGGGAGGGAGGGAGGGAGGGAGGGAGGGAGGGAGGGAGGGAGGGAGGAAGAAGAGGTTTATAAAGTCAACCCAGAGTGGCCCTTGGACCATAAGATGTTCACTGGCTGTACCAACTAGGAAATGGAACAGGGATGAATTTCAGACATAAAGACAACAAGGAAAAGCAGGCATGTGGCTTACTGTTAGGATGTCAGATGCCCACCTCCCATATCAAGTTGCCTGGGTTCGACATCTGGTTCTGCTTCTGATTACAGCTTCTGGCTGATGTAAACCCTAGAAGGCAGCAGTTATGGCTCAAGCAACTGGATTCCTGCCACCAACATGGGAGTCCTGGATTGAGTTCCCAGCTCCAGGTGCAGCCCTGGCCATAGCAGGAATTTGGGGGAATGTAATAGCAAATGGGGAGCTCTCTTAAAGAGAAGCAGGAATTATGGCGCCACATCCCAGTCCAAGTGTCTGATTAAAGTTCTGGCTATTCTGTTTCCAGTCCAGCTTCTTGCTAAGGCACACCCTGGAAAGGAGATCATGGTTCAAGTACTTGGGTCCCTGTCACCAAGTGGGACACCCAGACTGAGTTCCATGCTGCCTGATTTGGCCCCAGCTGTTGCAAGCATTTAGGGTATGAACCAGTGGATGGAAGATCTCTTTTTCTCGTTGCCTTTCAAATAAAAATTTCAGAAGACTAGGAAAAGGCACAGCAACTTTTTGAGATGGCACAGAACCCAAAAAGTATGGAATTTGGCATGGTTATAAGATATATGGGGGATTACTAGCTAAGCAAGAGTGTGCAACACACCAGATTTGGTGTGCTTTTTATGGTATGGGATATTAGTTTGAGTTTTATCCCATAGGCCAGGAATTTTTTTAATAAATTGTATTTATTTTATTTGAAAGTCACAGAGAGAGTTCTTTTATCCAAGGTTCATTTCCCAAATGCCCACAGGAGTTGGGTGTTGGGTCAGGCCAAACCCAGGAGCCTAGAACTCAATCCAGGTCTCACATAGGTGGCAGAGATCCATGTGAGCCATCACCTGTTAGCTCCCACAGTGCTCATTATCAGGAACTTGGAGTCAGAAGCAGAGCTGGGACTCAAATCTAGGCACTTAAATATGAAATGCATCCCAAGCAAAGTTTAACTGTTGTACCAAGCACCTGCTGGCCAAGAATTATTTTAATCACATTCATGAATGAGCATTTACTAATGAACTAAGACTGTATGTTAAATCTGTGTTCATGAGCAATTTTTATAAAGATTTATTTATTTGAAAGTAAGAGTTACAGAGAGAGACAGAAAGAGATCTTCCATCAGATGGTTCACTCCCCAGATGGCCATAACAGTCAGCACTAGGCAAGGCTGAAGCCAGGAGCCAAGATCTTCTTCAAGGTCTTTCATGTAGATAGCCTGGCCCCAAGCACTTGGACATCCTCTGCTACCACACCCAGGCCATGAGCAAGGAGCTGGTTCAGAAGCAGAGCAGCTGGGACAGGAACCAGGCCCACATGGGATGTCAACATTGCAGGTGGTGGCTTTACTTGCTATACCACAATGCTGGCCCCTCATGAGCACTTTTTCTAGAGAAAAAAAAGTCATTTTGTTTCTTTCATTAGACACTCAAACTATATATGATACAAACAGATTAAAAACTACTATACAATACCAGAATGAACAACTGAAGGGTTTCTTTTTTTTGGGGGGGGTAATCATTTTTTCAAGAAAGCAGATATAGAAAGGAAGAGAGAAACAGAAACAGCTTCTATCTGCTGGTTCACTCCCCCAAATACCTGCAACAGTTAGGACTGGGCTGAGGCCAAAGCCAACAGCTGGCAAAGCAAACCAGGTCTCCCAACTGGGTGGCAGTAACGCAATCATTTAAGCCACTTGTTGCCTCCCAGGGTTTGCACTAGTAGGAAGCTGGAGTCAGGAGCTGTAGACAGGTATCAAACCCAGGTACTCTGGGAAGTCAAATGCCCACCCAACCCTCCCCCATGCACCATCACTGAAGGGTTTTAAGTAAGATTCTTGAGGATCATATTTTAGAAAATTACTGGCAGCAGTGTGGAAGACAAAAGGGAGATTGGAGGCAAGTAAACAAGTTGGGGGAATATTTTTAAAAATCTAAATAAAAGGGCTGGATTTGCGGTGTACTGGTTAAACCACTGCCTGCAAAGCCAGCATCCCATATCAGAGCACTGGTTCAAGTCCCAGCTGCTCCCTCTTCTGGTCCAACTCCCTGCTAATACACCTGGGAAAGCAACAGAAGATGGCCCAAGTATCTGGGCCCTAGCCATACACATCTGTGGCCATGGAGTTCTAGGCTCCTGGCTTCAGCCAGGCCCAGCCCCAGCCATTGTAGTCATCTGGGGAGTAAACCAGTGGATGCAAGATCCCTTTCTGTTTCCTCCTCTGTCACTGTGCCTTTCAAATAAATACAATGCACATTTTAAAAAAAATCTAAACAAGATGTATAAAGGCATGAACTGGCATAGGACACTGGAAAAAGGAAAGGGGCAGTCAGAAAAAAGGTTAAGAATCCAAAGATTTGTTACCTAACTTGATGAGCAAGTAATCCAGGAAGCTATAAAGGAAATGGTATTATTCCTGAACATCAAACCAAAATTTACATGGCAACAACTAGTTCCAGGGAGAAGGATAACAAATCTACACGGGGTAAAGAAAATTTTAAAGTCTCTACAAACTGTCCAGGCAGAGACATTCACCAAGCAGTGGAATGTACATGTCTTAAACTCAGAAACAAGTTCTAGAGGAACAAAACTGTAAATGCTCTGTGCAGATGCCAGTCAATAAAATTATCTAGAAAGAGTGAAGGGAAAGTGGTAATTTCCAAAGGTAGGTGAAAAGAGTCAACAGAGTTTGAAACAGTCAATATATAGTTTCATACTTGGAAAAGAAAAATAAACTATTGTTTTCAGATTAGAAACACAGGCAGCAAGGCCCAGTAAATCTTCAATCTTCTTTGTAGTAATGATTTTTAGATCTAGAACAGGAGGGAAAAATCATGTCCCCTACCCACCTACCACTACCAGAAAAGAAGCCAAGGAAATTTTCACTTCCTTTTGATAAACAGAGCAAGAGTTTAAAAGAAAATACGTTAAGAAGGGGCCGGTGCTGCGGCACGGTTAAGCTGCCACCTGCAGCACTGGCATCCCATATGAGCATTGGCTGGTATTCCAGCT